AGTCACAGCCTTAACTCAAGCCCTCATCAGCCTCTGAGAGAGAGGGGAGGAGGGATACTGGGAAACCAGGGTAATGTTAAAAAAAATCAATAAAAACTTATTAAAGGAAAAAAAAATCTTCACAACTTGGCCCCACCCTGTCTTTCCAGTCCCTTCTCCCCATCCTCAGTGGTCCAGCCCATTGGCCTTTTCTCTGTTGCTCACACGGGAGCATTCCAGTCTGTGCCTTTGCATTGGCCATCACCCGCGTCTAGCATGTGCTCCTTCCTTACCTGTGATTTTTAGAATCTCTCTCTTCCTTCTCCATAAAACCTTCCCTGATCCTCTCCCAAACTGCTAGTTCTTTGTGTTCCCTAACTACCTCATCTTTCTTTTGAATATATTTATTCTGAATATTCTCTTATTTGTACATATTGTCTCCCCCAGTAGAGGATAAGCTTCCTGAGAGTAGTACCTGTTCCATTGTCTCAGTATGTCCCAACACCAAACACAGGGTCTGGTACCTAGTAGAGGCTTAATAAATGCTTGTTGATTGATGGTGGCTGGATGGATGGATCCCATTATGGTAGACCATGGTGAGCTTCCTCTCTAGTCAACTGGCACCTGTTTCCCCTAACTTTGACCTCAATAAACTGTGTGACCTTTCTCAAGTCACCTCACTTCTCCAGTCCTCAGTTTCCTCATTTGTAAAAAAGAGAGTAATAATCCATTCACTTCTTCCCTCTCAGGGTTGTTAATAAGGAAAACATATCGCCAACCTAAAGCTGCAGAAACATGAGCTTCTATCATTCAGTGAGAAGGAGAGTAAGCAAGCTTTTGGATTCTTACCCGTACTGTGTTGGATAAAGAAAAGCATGGCAGGTGGAGAAGGGAGGAGGTGGTAGGAAGGAGGGGAGGGAGGGCCACAGCAAAGGAGACACAAGAACCTTAGGACCAGAATCAAAACAGCCCTGCTTGGCTTGGCAAAGGCCCAGCAACAGATCTACAATAAACCATTTATCAGCCCATGCTGTTGGCTCAGGACAGCCCTGGCCGACAAGCCCTGAGATTATCTATGGTAAACACATTTTTCTCAAGTGCCCAGTACTAACAATTGGAAGGTAAATCTTTAAGCAGGGGTGGAGGGAGGAGAGGATTTGTCCAGCCAGCTAGATGGGGGACGTCGGACCTGCTAACCAGGAGGGAGGCCTGCCTCCTTCCCTCACAATGGTGGATGACTGATGATAATAATAACCTTCCACTGAAGTCTTCCTCTAATGTTCCATCATGACATGGATGGGACTCTAGGGTCCCAAAATTTATGCTAGTGGAATAGAAACTATGGCAGGTCCTGCTAGGCTTGAAAACAATTGGACTTATGGGTCAGTCCTCCAGCCTAGTCAGTTCAGGGAGACTTCTCAGAGAGTTGGTACTTAGGTATCTGGCATTTTTGGCTACAGAAACTCATGAAGCTGTTTACTGAAAGGTGGTGGTGGTGTTATTTAGTTGTTTTTGGTCATGTCCAACTCTTCTTGACCTCTTTTGGGATTTTCTTGGCCGAGATTCTCAAGTGGTTTGCTATTTCCTTCTTCAACTCATTTTGCAGGTGTGGAAACTGAGGCAAACAGGGCTAAGTGACTTACCCAGAGTCATACACTCTGTATGTAAATGTCTGAGGCCAGGCTTGAACTCAAGAAGGGGAGTCTTCCTGACTCTAGGGCCCACCCTTTATCCATTGTGCCTCCCAGAGGAGCTTAAATCTGCATCAGCAGAGAGAAGATCCACACTTGGGGAAAAGATGGCTCCTTGTCATATTGAAGCATCATAATCCTCCTCCTCCTCTGAAAGAGTGTAGAGTGTAAGCCCCTTGAGGACAGGAGCTATTTTCTATCTTTGCCTCTGCAGCACGGGACAGAGTGCCCAGCACATAGTAGATGCTCAATAAATGCTTGTTTATTGATTAGATAAAAATAATAATCAGTAGCTTACATTTCTATAGTATTTACAATTTCCAGTGTGTTTTCCCATCTGTGTTTTGTCACTGGGTCTTCAGAAATGCCCTGTGTATGAGGCAGAGCAAGAATTAGTGTCTTAATTTTACAGATGAGCAAATTGAAGCTTTGAGTGATTAAGTGATGGGATAGAGAGACCAGAGGACTTACTTTGAATTCTGGTTCTTCTTAGCAGTTGTGTGTCTGCAGCCACGTTATCCTATCCCCTTTCCTTTTCTTCTCTATCAAAGAAAGAGATTGGATTAAATGACCTCTTCCAGCTTTAAATCCTGTGATGCTATGACTACCTTAGAGTCTGACACATATCTACGAAGGTGAGACTTGAACACATACACACACACACACACACACACACACACACACACACACACACACACACACACACACACACACACTTTCTGTCTCACTTTTAGCACAACCAGGACAAAAACCTGGCTTTGAGACTTTCAGACCACTACAATTCTCTGACTTCTTCTTTCTCCCTTCTTTGTGGTGAAGAACCTTTTAGTGGTCCCTCCATTTAGCCCTAGGGAAGCTAGGTGGCCCAGTGGATAGAGCCCGGGGCCTGGAGTCAGGAAGACCTGAACTCAGATGTGGCCTCAGACATTTACTAGCTGTGTGATCCTAGGCAAGTCATTTAACCCTGTTTGCCTCAGTTTCTTCATCTGGAAAACAACTGGACAAGGAAAAGGCAAACCGCTCCAGTATCTTGGCCAAGAAAACCCCAAATGGGGCCATGAAGAGTTGGACATGACTGAAAGTGACTGAACAACAACATTTAGCCCTGCCACAAACCCCCTATGTGACTTTGGGAAATCACCTCACCTTTTCTTAACTGTGTTTCTTCATCTGTAACATAGAGTCATGGGACTAAATCAGCAGTCACAAGTCTTAGCTCTTCCCCTTGTGCACCTCGAGACTTTCCTACTCCCTGATTCTTTCCATCCCCTTCTCCCTTCCTCCCTCAGTTTCTTCATCTGCAAAGTGAGACGAGTAATATTTGTTTCTTGGTGTTATCCTGTAGAAAGCATTTTGTAAATACCAAAGCTATATGAAAATATAAGGTATTGTTCTCCTCCTCATCCTGTTCTTCATCAGCAGCATCATGTCATTTGCTCCTTACCTAGGCAAGTGAGCAGAATATGCAGAGAGAAAACTGAGACTGAGAAGGAAATTCACTTACCCAAGGTTGCCCAGCTAGTAAAGCAGTAGTAGGGCTGGACCCCAATTCTTCTGATTCCTGACCTGTGATACTAATGACTAGCAGAAGGGACAAGAGTGATAGGATCTGGGGCTTATTAGGCCAGGTTAAGCCAGATGGAACCTTTACTGCCTAGCCTTATGATGGACCAGGAAGAAATCATTTAGGGGCCCCATGTTAAAACAGACTTAATATGGTCTTAGGGATTGTTTGAGAAGTATGCAGCATTCCACTCACGGCTTTTAAAATTAAGAACAGAGAACATAAAATGCCATTCAATAAATGTCACAAATAACAAAAAAAGAAACTTCATTTCTGTGGCTTAAAGTGGTAGGATCCTGGTTATCTCAGAGCTAGAAGGAACCTTAGTGATCATGGAGTCCAACCCTTATTAAGAGAAGGAACCATCACAGACTTCCTGACAAATGGGCATCCAGCCTCCTCTAAGAGACTTCCAGGATTGAGGTGCTCACTAGCCAGCCAGTTAAAGGGGAGAAGAAGAAAATTATCATCACTTCTAGCTTTACATTTGTTTAAGCCCTGACAACTCCTTTGTGTTCTTCAGTTGCGTCCGACTCTACATGACTCCATTTGGGGTTTTCTTGGCAAAGATACTAGAGTGGTTTGCCATTTCCTTTTCCAGCTCATTTTACAGATAAGGAAACTGAGGCAAGCAGGGTTAAGTGACTTGCCCAGGGTGACACAACTAGTAAGTGTCTGAGGTAGGATTTGAACTTAATTCTTCCTGACTCCAGGCCTGACATTCCATGCACTGAGCCACTTAGCTGCCCCTGAGAGCTCCTAAAACCCAGCTTTTTGAAAAGTTACCACACACACCACCACCACCACTCCTTAATTTTTTTTCTTTAAGACTGTGTGAGGTGTGTCTAAACATATCCTTCATATTTGTTTTTGGAAACTTGGGCATCCTGGAAATCCTGATTTTTCGGTCTGAGAAAATAAAAATTTTACAGTGCAGAAGGTCTAGTTTCAGGAAGTATCATCCTCATCTTAGGGCTTTTAGAATGTCACTGCTAAAGTATTGAGTCACTGTGCTATGATTTTGAACTGCTTGGCCCTTGGTGCATACATGAGCTAGATGAAATCAAACTTAGAGCTAAATTTGGTCAATGGGTGACAGAGACAATATAGTATGGCGGAAGGAGCCCTGGATCTGGAGGGCCTCTGCTTTTGACTGTCATGACCTCGAGCAAGCTACTTCATCTCTGGGCCTCAGTTTCCTCATCTGTAAAATGAAGGGGTTTGTACTCACTTGGGAGTTTAACCCCTCTGGACTAGATGACCTTTGAGAGCTCTAAATCTATATGGTCTTAAGGTTTCCTGTCCTTGGCCTAGTGGCTTCCAAACACAATTTGCTGTAGAGGCAAATTCTCTGGGACTAAGGAATCCTCAAGTTGTTGTTTACCTTCTGTCCCTACCTAGCTTTGTGACCTTGAGGAAGGCATTGCCTTACTCGGGGCCTTAGTTTCCTCCTTATAAAATGAGTTTAGACTAGAAGGTTTCTTTATAATCAGTCCATCAACATGCATCTATTATGTGCCAGGCACTATGCTAAGGGCTGAGGATACAGAGAAAGGCAAGAAACAGTCCCTGCCCTCAAGGAGAGCACAGTCTAATGAGGGAGACATCATATAAACAAGGGAGATGGCTTGCTTAAGGACACACTGTTAGTGTTGGAATGGGGGCTAAAACCCAAGTCTCCTGAGTCTGTTAGTCCTCGTCCCCCTGGTGAGTTTAAAAATAACTGGTGCCATTTTCTCTCTCTTCTCTCTCCTGCTGTGGCCCAGGCATGGAAGAAGCGTTGGTTTATTCTTCGCAGTGGGAGGATGAGTGGGGACCCAGACGTGCTGGAATACTACAAGAATGACCATTCCAAGAAGCCCCTGCGGGTCATCAACCTCAGTTTCTGTGAACAGGTGGACGCAGGCCTGACCTTCAACAAGAAGGAGCTCCAGGAAAGTTTCGTGTTTGACATTAAGACCAGTGACCGCACCTTCTACCTGGTGGCGGAGACCGAGGAAGACATGAACAAGTGGGTGCACAGCATCTGTCAGATCTGTGGCTTCAATCAGTCGGACGAGAACTCAGGTACTGCCGGGGCAAACAGCTCTGTAAAACCATGGGGGCTGGGAGGAAGAAGTGGCGTGAAACTCATGTCTACCAGATGGGGTCCTGGGACAAGTCACTATTCTACTGTGATTCAGTTAAGTTTAGTGTTTGAAGAACTATTGCCAGGTGGATGAGGTGATTGCTTTTGGTAACTGAATAGAAGCATTTGGAGGATTATAAACTGATCGTTATCTGAAGGCTCATTGAAAGTTACTTTGGGATAACTCAAGGAGCAGACATGATGATGGGGGCTGACTTCTGGGGATCTATAATTTGAGAGAGATGATGATGACAATGATAATAATGATGATAATAGTGGTGATGGTGGTGGTGGTGGTGATGGTGATGATGATTTTAAAGGTTGTTTCGTGAGGCACCATAGCCAAAAAATTCATTACCTAGTGAGAATAAGTTTTTCCAGATTTAGATAGGCTGGTCTTGAGATAACAGACACACTGTGTGTCATGGGGCTTGTATTTAAAGCTTTTTTCCATCTGAGTAGGTCCTCCCTCTTCTGTCATAAGCTTCAGTAACTCAGGGTAAACTCCATACTGTAATGAGCCAACAGAGGCTTGTTTTGGGTGATCATTTTGAGGGAAAAAAGGGGTTTTTTTGTAGAGGAATAATAGCAATAATAACTATAGCACTAATACATCAGATTTCTTCTCACCAGTCCCATAAACTGAGGAGTGCTTGGATTCTTCTTCTTCTTTTTAATAAGGAGGAGGGAGGAGACTGGGCTTTCATATCTCCATAGCTGTAGCTGGAAGTACAGGGTGGACCAATTGTGGACCAATCCTAAAACTGATTGGCAAAGAAGCTTTAATCTATTTCATTTTTTCCATCTTGGACCTGTTTACCCCCTCCATAGGCAGCCTGGTGTGTCTCTGCTCCCGGGGGATTACCACACTTACGCTTGACTTAGGGTGGGCTCCCAATCAGCATTAGCCCCACTGCAGCTCAGAACCTCTAAACTCCAGGGATCTACCAGCCTCAGCTTCTTCTGGAAGTGCGGATTCCAGCGATGAAGTACCAGGCCTGGTAGAGAGATGAAATATTAGTCTCATTTTGCCAATAAGTAGGGGGTCCTGTGAGCTCTGAAGGAGGCACACCAAAGAAGGTAAGGAAGGGCTTAGAAAACATTTTTGGGAATGCTGCTGTTTCTCGTATGTGACACAGCCATGATCACCCAAACACCTTTTGGCTCTGTGTGCCCAAAACCCCAGGCAGTATTCAGCAGCGGGATTGTACATAAGGATTCCCCTGGAACATACGTAACAACTGAGGAGACACGGAGAGGAAGCCACCCAGTAATACCGGACTCCCTCCTACCACTCCCCATCCCCAAAGCCTCACTTACTTGGCTATAAAACGGCTTCAACTTACTCTTTGTCATCTTCCATGAATCAGTCAAGAAATGTTTGTTTGATATCTTCTCTGAATGTTCAGTTTGGAATCATTTGTGACTTTAGCTATAGGATTTTAATGACAGGTAGTATCTGTCGATTTATGAGGGAAAAGATAATGAACAAGGTGGGTCTGACCATCTCTGCCTTCCATTCCCCCAAAATAAAAACAACCCAACAACAAATGGCCAAATGAAACTTGTATTTTTAAAGCTTAGTCTGGGATAATTTAGATCTAGACCTGTCCAGAATATTGAGATATTGACTTAAGGACTCCTGGGAAGTTTTCTCCCAGCCCAAGGAGCCTATAATTTCTATGGTTCTTGGGCGAAACTTAATGCCACCTGGTCTGTTTCCTGATCACTTGTTGGGTATATCATAGGGGCTGTTCGCTTAGTGGGTGAGTTAGTTTAAACAATAGTCACCAAGGCCCCTTCCAACTCTTAAATCCTGTGATTTATAGAACGGGGATGTATGTGCCAGGTGATGAGGGGGAGGGGAATTTGCTCTAAAGTGAATTTCTGTAAATAGAATCATATTTTTTGTATAGACTCCTTTTATTGAATTGGAGAGCAGTTCTCACAAAGGAGAGCGCCTGCCTCAAGATATAATAAAACCCATGTTTATTGCTTTTTACTTTGGTGGTTCTGTGACTGCGTTGATATGATCACTCTCTCCCATGGTATCGATAGCACCCCATCTGCACCTTCTTCGTCTGGGTCTGTTTTCCATGTAAAATGTCCACAGCGGAACTGACCACTCAGCACCTTGAGGTTCTCCTCTAGGTCTGTGGACAGGGGACCGAGGCCCGTGGAGCACTGGGCTGACTATCCCTGGCTCTCGCTCCATGACCAGCCCTCCCCTCCCTTTCCAGTCCAACAGACCTTTAGTATATTGCACCAACCTATTTGCATGCTGTCTCTTCCATTAGACTGTGAGCTCCTTGAGAGCTCAGATGGGCTGTTGCCTTTCAAAACATGATGGAGCAAAGGGAGCCCTGGACTGGGAGCCAAAAGGCTTTCCACTGAGTCAAGGCTCTGACATTTCCCAGCCATGTGACCTGGAGCAAGTTTTCCTCTCTGGGCTTCAGTGTCCTCCTGTATAAAATAAACACAATCATGCTCACACTATTTATCTTACAGAGTCGTTTTGAATAAAGTTCTGTATAAACCTTAATGGAAGTACAGTCAGGGGACGTGGGTTTGAGTCCTGGCACCAATACAAATCATAGGCACTTCTTCAGACTCAGTTTCCCTGCCTACAAAATGGGGATACCAATGTTACCAGTCTCCCTAGGTCATTGTAAGAAAAAAGCTTTTATTAAATGTAGGTGAGTACCATCATGCCTAAGTGGAGGGCAAAAGGGATGGGGTTCTTGAAGACAATAAAAGGGTCCCAGTGCAGCTAGAGGGTATGTGTCCTAGGAGGGCCAGCCTCACTAAGTACTCGGCTGTGTAATAGATAGACTTGTTTGAAGCCTGCCTCAGTCATGTGACCCAGAGAAAGTTGCTTAACTGCTGCTCTCAGTCTCAGTTTCCTCATCTATAAAATGGGGATAATCAGAGTACCTACCTTCCACAGTTGTGAGAATCAAACTAAATACACAAAGTGCTTTGCAAACATGAAAATGTTCTATAAATGATACCAATCATGATGATGATGAATCTTTCCTAATAATAATAATTATTATTATTATTCAGAGAGGTAGGTGCTATTACTATCCCTATTTTACAAATTAGGAAACTGAGGCAGACATCCAGGGTTGCACAGCTAATAAGGGTCGGAGGCTGAATTTGAACTAAGGGGCTTCCTGGTTTTAACTCTAGCACTCTATATACTGGGCCACCTAAATGCTAGAGGTTTGGGTCACCCAGACGTGCATTTTGGGGGCCAGGGTGTCCCCTGAAACAGTTAAACACTAAAAACCCTACTGAGAAGAGACCAGAAAGTATAAATGACACATCGGTTTCCCATAAGCCTTTGGGTGTGACCTGGTCTTCTGCAGTGACTTCCCTTGTCTCTCAAGGTAAACGTTACTTCAGTTTGTTCCTTTCCAGGGGATTATCTCAGGAGCTGTCTTTCCAGGTTTGTTCATTTAACTGTCTTGTTAGAGCTATTAATAGCTGTTAATAGGGATCATTTAGCATCTTTTGTGAGATCTTTACTTGTGAGAATAGTATTATCTTTCATCTGGTGAGGGCCTATGCTTGAGGTGTGTTAAAAAAAATTCATTTGTGTAACCTATTTAATTTCTCCATTGTAAGCTTTATTTTTTTTTTAGGCAATTGGGGTTAAGTGACTTGCCCAGGGTCACACAGCTAGTAAGTGTCAAGTGTTTGGTCTGAGGTCAAATTTGAACTCAGGTCCTCATGACTTCAGGGCCAGTGCTCTATCCACTGTGCCACCTAGCTGCCCTGTTGGTAAACTTTTGAAAAAATAGGTGTACCTGAGGAATAGAGAGGCTCAATCCTGAAGAGCAGAAGCTTTGGAGTTGTGAGACCTGGGGTCAATTGTGACCTTGGGCAAGCCTCTTAACCTGTCAGAGCCTCAGTTTCCCCATCTGTTTAAAAAAAAGGTGGTAGTGGAGGGATAATAACACCTGTAATGTTTCCTTCGTAGGGTTACCATGAGACTCAAATGAGATAATCTACAGAAATTGCTTAGCAAGCCTTCAGGTTTCATATAAATACTAGCTATTGTGAGGATCGTGGGCTGAAAGCAAACTCATCTAACCCACCATCGATGGGTAGCCCCAGACAGTGCTTTCCAGCCATCCAGCTGTCTAGGAGGAAATTTCACCCTGTCTAGGCATCTTGCCATCTGCCCTACATACCTCTCCCCCACCCCTCACCCCTGGTGAAATCCCATGTGATTTCACTGGTGTAGGGAACTTTTGATAAGGAAACCCTCATCTCTTACAGGGTCACCTAGAGCACTGAGAAGGGTTAATAGAAGTATTATGTTAAAGGCAGGCCTTGAATTCAGGTCTTCCTGACTCAAAGGCCAGTGCTCCTTCCCTCTCTCTCCCTCTCCATCTCCCCTCCCCCTCCTTTCCTCTCTCTCTCTCTCTCTCTCTCTCTCTCTCTCTCTCTCTCTCTCTCTCTCTCTCTCTCTCTCTCTCTCTCTGTCTCTCTCTCTCTGTCTCTCTCTCTCTCTCTGTCTCTGTCTCTCTGTCTCTCTGTCTCTCTCTCTCCCTGTCCTCCTCTCCCCTCCCCCTCCTCTCCTCTCTCCTCTTTCTCTGTCTCTCTCTCCTATGCTATGCTGGCTCTGGAAACAACCATCGATTTAATGCTATCATTGCTACTGGAAAGGGTGTGAGAACTGATTGCTCTTTGGTTCTGCTTCAGCATCCTCGTGACAGCCCAGACCAAAACTCCCTTTCCAGCTTTTACTAGGACCCCAGATTTGTTGCCTCTCTCTATGAGAGTCTACGTTATAATGCAAGTTTCTTGAGAGCAAAGACTCATGGGAAAGTGATTTGTCATTTAAAATCAGCACAGGGACAGCTAGGTAGTGCAGTGGATAGAGCATCAGCCCTGGAGTAGGGAGGACCTGAGTTGAAATCCCGCCTTA